AATAATATAATAATCCTCTAACAATAATGTAATAACATAATAATCCTCTAATAATAACATAATAATATAATAATCCTCTAATAATATCAATAAGAATCCTCATGCTAATAACAAGTGAATTACAATTAATTAATTAAGCTTTAAAATCGATCAGATTAATAGAATTCATTAAATTATTAAAAAATATTAAAGGAATATCAATCCTTCTCCTTTTTTGTGTTAATTAATCGCAAGCGCCCTCACAGCTGGTTTTCTATTAAGCTAATTAATTAATTGCGAGCCCATTGGTCCTTTTTTAATATTAGATTAATTAATCGTGCTTTTCAATATCAAATTAATTAATTGCAAGCCCTTGTATTACTCTAATATGAAATTAATTAATTGCAAGCCCTTGTGTCCCTCTAATATTAAACCAATTAATTGCAAGTCCTTCTATCTTTCTAATACTAAATTAATTAATTGCAAGTCCTCCTGTCTTTCTAATAATGAATTAATTAGCTGCAAGCCCTTGTCTTTCTCTAATATTAAACTAATTAATTGCAAACCCTTGTATCTGTCTAATATTAAGCTAATTAATTGCAGGCCTTTATGTCCCTCTAATATCAAATTAATTAATCGCAAGCTCTTCTGATGTTTTCATCTATTAATTAATTAATTGCAAGCCCGTATTTCTGTCTACTATTAAACTAATTAATTGCAAGTCCTTCTATCTTTCTAATAATAAATTAATTAGCTGCAGGCCCTCCTGATGTTTTTCACCTGTTAATTAATTAATTGCGAGCCCTTTGATCTTCTTAATATCAAATTAATTAATTTCCAGCCCTCCAGCCAGACCTTGTAGCTCATTTAATAGCCAATTAATTAATGGCCAGCCCCGATAGTGGGTTTGATATTAAATTAATTAATTGCGAGCCCTTAGAGCATTTTTTTAATTGAACTAATTAATAACAAGCTCCGCAGCGCCCCCTTGTGGTTTATTTTCTATTAAATTAATTAATTGCGAGCCCTGAGATGGTTTTGACGTCAAATTAATTAATTGCCAGCCCTCGTACCTTTTTAATGTCGAATTAATTAATTAACAGCCCCGCAGGGCACTCTTGGGGCTTTTTAATAATCAATTAATTAATTAATAGCTCTGCAGGGAACTTGTCTCCCTTCTTAATACTGAATTAATTAATTAATAGCTCTGTAGGACTCCTTTATACCTTTTTAATGTTCAATTAATTAATTAATAGCTCTGCAGGGCTCCTTTATACCTTTTTAAAGTTCAGTTAATTAATTAACAGCTCTCTAGGGCTCCCTGATACCTTATTAATATTCAATTAATTAATTAAGCCGGGCAGAGCATCCTCACATCTATTCGATATTAAATTAATTAATTGCAAAGCTCTGCAGCCCCTAATTAATTAATGACGCTGATTAATTTAATGATTAAATTAATAATTACATTAATTTAATCTTTGCGCCCCCCCGATTAATTATTAACGCTGATTAATTGAATCAATAATTAATAAATTAACTATTTAATTGCCCCCTCCGGGGGAAATAATGGGATTTGAGGGAAAATCACGGAATTTGGGGGAAAATAACGGAATTTTGGAGAAAATAACGGAATTTTGGGGAAAATAATGGGATTTGAGGGAAAATAATGGGATTTGAGGGAAAATTATGGAGTTTTGGGGGAAGATAATGGAGTTTTGGGGAAAATAATGTGATTTTGGGGAAAACAGAAAATAATGGGATTTGAGGGAAAATTATGGAGTTTTGGGGGAAGATAATGGAGTTTTGGGGAAAATAATGTGATTTTGGGGAAAACAAATGAGGTTTTGGGGAATATAATGGGATTTGAGGGAAAATAATGGAGTTTTGGGGGAAGATAATGGAATTTGGGGGAAAATAATGTGATTTTTGTAGAAAATAATGGGATTTGAGGGAAAATTATGGAGTTTTGGGGGAAGATAATGGAGTTTTGGGGAAAATAATGTGATTTGGGGGAAAACAATGAGGTTTTGGGGAAAATAATGGGATTTGGGGGAAAATAACAAAGTTTTGGGGAAAATAATGGAGTTTTGGGGAAAATGATGGGATTTGGGGGAAAATAATGGAGTTTTGGGGAAAATAATGGGATTTTGGAGGAAGATAATGGGATTTGAGGGAAAATAATGGAGTTTTGGGATAAAATGGTTTTTTGGGGGAGTATAATGGGATTTTGGGGGAAGATAATGGGATTTTGGAGGATAAAATGGTATTTTTGGGGAGGATAATGGGATTTTGGGGAAGATAATGGGATTTTGGAGGATAAAATGATATTTTTGGGGAGGATAATGGGATTTTGGGGAAGATAATGGGATTTTGGAGGATAAAATGATATTTTTGGGGAGGATAATGGGATTTTGGGGAAGATAATGGGATTTTGGAGGATAAAATGATATTTTTGGGGAGGATAATGGGATTTTGGGGAAGATAATGGGATTTGGGGGAGGATAATGGAGTTTTTGGAGAAGATAATGGGATTTAGGGGAAGATAATGGGATTTTTGGAAAGATAATGGGATTTTGGTAGATAAAATGGTATTTTGGGGCGGGATAATGGGTTTTTGGAAAGATAACAGGATTTTGGGGAGGATAACGGAGTTTTTCGAGAAGATAATGGGATTTGGGGGAAGATAATGGGATTTTTGGTAAGGTAATGGGACTTTGAGAGAAGATAATGAGGTTTTGGGGAGGATAATTGAGTTTTTGGAGAAGATAATGGGATTTTCGGGAAGAAAATGGGATTTTCGTGAAGAAAATGGGATTTTGGAGGAAGATAATGGGATTTTTTGGGAAGACAGTGGGATTTTGGTAGATAAAACGTGATTTTGGGGCAGGATCATAGGTATTTTGAAAGATAATGGGATTTTGGGGAGAATAACGGAGTTTTTGGAGAAGATAATGGGATTTTGGGGAAGATAATGGGATTTTTGGTAAGATAATGGGACTTTGGGAGAAGATAATGGGGTTTTGGGGAGAGAGAAGATAATGAGGTTTTGGGGAGGATAATTGAGTTTTTGGAGAAGATAATGGGATTTTCGGGAAGAAAATGGGATTTTGGAGGAAAATAATGGGATTTTTTGGGAAGACAGTGGAGTTCAGGGGTTGCAGTTGAAGGATGTCTGTGCTTGGAACAGGAATTTGGGCTCAACACACCAATTTTGGGACAATTCCGGGCACCTGTTGCCCTCAGAAGATTCCAGAACAACGGAAGGTGAAGCTGGAGCCCTCAAAGAAGAGGTAAAGGGCAGCGTTTTGGGGCAAAACTCCAGGATTTTGGCTCGATGAAGAGTGTTGTGCTTGGTGGAAGGGTCTGGACACGCTACGGGACGTGAGTCATTGCGGAACGGCTCCAAGAAGGGGTTGGGATTTGGGTCCCACCACCACCAGCATCTTTGGCGCAGTAGTAGGTGGCCGAGTCGTCACCATGAGGTTGTCCATCTGCAGCGTGACCGTGCTCTGGGAGAAGTCCTTGGAGATGGTGAAACGTCCTTCCACGGCCGGCACGTAGTACATTTTCCCACCATCGTACCAGACTTCCACGATGAACTCCAGCCCCTTCCCGTGTCCAAACCATGGAGAAGTCGCCGAAGGTGAAGCCGGAGCCGGTGCAGATGAGGCGTAACGACCCGCCAGGGGTCTGGAGGCCCCTCCGGACAA